CCCGTCACGGCAACCTCCTCGGCTTTGCCAAAGAATCCAAGCTTCTTGCGCGGGCTGTCTGTCGGTACGGCAGCGCGCGCGCGTTTCGCCATCTCGTCTTCGTCGGGCTTTACTCGCGCCATCGATGGAATGAGGCGTCGTATTATTGCAGCGAGCGAAACACGTACCATCAAGACGGCGAAGCGCAACAAATGGCTGTGCCATGCCACGGACACCCCCGGCCCGGATGCAATCTAGTTCACGGTTTTCATGAATGGATAGTAGGCGACGGCGGATGGGACACGCGCGGGCTGTCCTGGCGTTGTCTTCAACGAGACGTTGCCACTCGCACAGGTTTCGCTCGTCGGATGGAAGTGTACCATGCGATAGGTCGCGGCTGCTGCATCCACGTGCACAATCTAATGAATACGGTCGGAATGTTCGCGCTTCTGCTGCTTTGTTGGCGTTCCGACAACAGCTCGGTTGTACCTCATAATGAGTCCCCGTCAAAACAGCGACGTAGTTGGACGTCGAGTGCTTCATGACGACGCCGACCGAGTCCTTGTTCGGGTACTTGAGCGCATGCATCTCGCGCTTGCCTTTTTCCGCGAGCCCAACGGACCGAAGGTGCGTTGACGTGTTGAGAACAATGGCGGCCGCGCTACGACAGCCACGTCCGATGTTGTTTTGTTTAACGAAGGATGGGTCGACACGATTTGTCGCAAGAAGCGACTGCATGCGTGCACTCAAGTCATGCCGTGAGAGATGACCTGTTCGGTCAGTACCTTGGCACGAGGGTAGCTGTGTGACGCGTGTACGAGTGCATGGAAAACAGCAGCAGCCCTGAAATCCCCCATCAGGATTGCCAACGTTAGCGAATGGATGATATTCACACCGTAGTTGGTCGCAGCAGCAATCAAGTTGGCGCTGCGCGGGCTTTGGGACATCGTGTTGATCTTGATCTTCTTCGACAACTTCTACTCGAACACAGCAATGTAGTGAATGCGGTGGCGGCCCAGCCTCGCGTTGTACTGTGTGAAGATTGCGCACATCCTTGACCACGTCGACTCGGTGGGCAGCTATCTCCATGTCTGCATTGGCCTAGTTCCATGGGGTCATGAGAAATGGCGCCCAAATGAATGGATCGAGAACGAGGCGCGGGCCGTTTCGGTCGCACCTTGCCCTTATGCAGCTCGGTCACATTCATCTACCGACAGACAGTCTCGTCAGCGCATGTGCGAATGTGCGCGGAGCAAGCACCATCGACGTGTGGCAACTGGACAGGTATACGTAGCTATGCTTGCTCGACCCGAGCAGCAGCGTCCCATGGAGAGGCTTGACCGGCGCCGTTGCATTCGATGTGTGGAAGACGCCGATAAAGTTGACTCTGTGTGGCCTCGGCGAGATTAGTTGCGCAAAGCAGATGAGAGAGATCGGCAGGCACTTGCCTCGGCTCCTTGGTCTGCTGTGTGATTCTAACGCCACAGGAACACCGCGCCATGGTTTAATCGATGTCCCGAGCTCCATGAGAACATGACTGATGGCATGCATTAAGCACGTACCGAAGAAAGGAAACGTCCCACATCAGCACGTTTCCATCTTTCGACACGGCGGTCAGCACACTGTCTTCCACGAGCAGTCTGAGTTCGTGAAAGCCGCACGACGTCAAGTCGACGTTTGGGTTGGCACCGCCGCGCTTGTTGGCGTCCTTCAAGTCAAACTCGCACGCGCGCGACTGCTGGAATTCAGCATTTGCCAGCCGGTTCACACACCACACGATCGCTTTCCCATCGACGTGGACAGCGATCAAGTAGCAACGAAACGTCGATGGTGATACGGTTGGTGTCGACGACGCGTCCGACGGCACCAAGATCAAGAACGGAATCTCCTTGACCGTTCCCATATCGATAACGTGGCACACCTTGCCCAACCGTGGGCTCCAGATGCGGATTTTCCCGTCACTGCAGCCTACGCCAAGTGGTCAATGCGATTCATTTGATCATGACTACGTACCGATCGCTAAAAAGCCTCCTGGTAAGAGCTCGATGGAATTCGGCAGCGCCCGACCCAACTCGTCCGATGTGATCCAGCGATTCTACCACAATAAAGTCGGCATGAACATCAAGGAAAGCAGACTCGGCTGCATGATAAGAGCGAAATGGCGCTGTACGCACCGACTGGGAGTCGTTGATGTCGCAAAACACAATGTTGTTCGTGGTCAGAATGACCAGCCACTCTTCAAAGCAGTCGATGCCACGGGAAATGCCTGACGCGTGCGAGATGGCCTCGCGGTCAAAAAACAAGAGCACCGCCGTGGATTTCGCTTTGCCAAGTTTGGGTGAGAATGTGCTTGAGAGCGCCATCGATTTTGTCAAGACCACGGACGGGGGTGTCGCGACGGTGGCGGGGTCATCGGAACTTGCAGGGATCTCGTCGCCAATCTATGGCAACACCTCTGGCCCACTATGTCCTGCACTTGATCGAATCACCTACCTGTAATGTGAAGCGTTTGATCACTTCCTTCGTTTCATAGTTCCACACAATGCCGACGTCCTTGGATTCTACCGCAGCGACCCACGGACGAACGGGGTGAAACACTACACCCGTCATTTTGCTCTTCTTCTTTGCACCAGGGCCGTCCATCGTCAAGAGTGCGTGGAATTCCATGCCGTACTTGTGGATCAGTGCAGTGTCCAGCGGGAGCAAGCATGACGAAGCTGCGGACGTACTGCTTGCGTCGGACATTGTCGGATGAGTGGGGTGAAGGCGAAAGATCCGCGTCGATCTTTATCCGGATATCCGGATGAACGTACGAGAGCCAATCAGAACGCTTTCTTTGACATCACGGCGTTTGATTTGCTACTGCAACTGCGTTGAAGTGCACAATCCACGGCGCGATGTCCATTGCCGAGTGCCGCGAGCGACTCGCGGCCATGGTACACGCTGCGTGGAGCTCAGGCGCCACGATCGTGGGTGCCGTTGCGTGCTGGTACGCGCACGTCATGGGAGTACTTGTGGTCTCGCAAGTGTTGCGTGTGATTGTGCCATGCCTGGTCGCCATTGTGGTGTGGGAGTACGTGGAGGTGCAACGAAGGCATCACCACGAAGCCCAAGCTAGTCGAGATGTGCCCGCTGATGGTGAAACGTTGTTAATGTGCCCGGTGTGTCTACATCGTGCTCAACGTCCCAGCGCAACCAAGTGTGGACATATCTTTTGTCGCGATTGTCTTGAGAGTTGGCGGGTTGTCGATGGGCGACAGGCGTCCATGCGCTGCCCTGTCTGCAACAAGCGCGTCCTTCGAAAAGACGTTTTTCCCTTGTATCCATGAACTGTACCAAGTACGTGCTTGACCATGCACGTCGTCGTCACGTCAAAACGACCAATGCCGTGGACGGCAGAGCATTCCGATTGCGAGTCGTTTTAAAGTCAACGAGAGTCACTACCCTTAACGATTACCATATTGGGACTCGTTGAGTGCTTTTGAGCCCAGTGTCGTTTGACGCGTCAATAGCAGCGCCCGACAGCGGCATCGATTACGTGCGTCGTCATGCGTTTCCCATCCCCATGACTTCTCTCCATGGCGACTTTGCGGCAACCGAAGCAAGCCCAATAAATTCGCTCGATGCGCGCCCATTTCCACGTGTGGTAACAACGCGGCTACGTAGCCAGCTTTCATCGTATCGTCAACAGGTCACATCCACCGCGTGTGCTCGCTGCAGACGGATGATTCATCGATACGAGTAACCTAGCGTCGTTGCACAACTGGCAAACTTCACCGGATTGTGTGAGCATTGCCTTTCAGACGCAAGTCATGTCCATGACCCCTTCAAGTGGACAATGCTTGTTGGTTGGCCGTCAACGTCCTGACCTTGCTGTAGTGTATGTACGTGAGGTCGCTGTGCACCACGAAAACGACTGTCCAACCTGACGGCGTGCATGCGACGAATCGTCTTGTTGGCCCACACATCACAGCCCACTCCTTCGGCCATCAGCAACTCATGACTGTGTTGTTGGTCGCTAACTTCGCCTGGCTCGACACATTTCGATTGGTGTACCATGAAACAGCGCCAAATCTGTTCACCACGTCAACCATGCTACTCGTCACCACGATGCCCCCATCCCCAAACATCAAGTTGCCTTTGAGCTACATTGTGTAAGTTTGCCCGTACTCGAGCTGTTGCATTTCCGGCGTGCGCGAGGTCTAGGGGGGTGTCAGAAGAATTGGCATGTACATACACTGAAAAACAGTCGCTCAATGCACGATGCCGCCCGTGCGAGAGAGACCAGACTCTCGAAGTAGGCCGAAACGTCTATACCCAAACGATATCGAGGCCACACCGATAGAATTCATGTCATTCGAGTACTCAGGGCCATGCATCCACATGGGATTATGCATGCGATTCCCACCGTGACGCGATATGAACGTCATGCGTGAAGTCCCAACAAAACCTACAATCGAAAAAGCAGCAACTGCAAGCAACACGTCTCCATCTCCATACAGAGATCCCTTCTCGAACATCACGGATTGCCTTGGTGGGGTTTACCTTCCATCGACAACGAAGGCACGACGTCATACTGCCTGCAAGCACGAAAATGACTGGAACTGCTGATGCTGCGTTAACGGAGTGGGTTTGGATAGCAACGGCATCTACTTTACGTCGATGCCGTTGATTTCCATCAACGTTGTGCGGACCATGCGGCCAACGACTCCATCGTTCGTGAAGTCGTCCTCGCAATATAATTCGAGTATGTTGCAACATATTGGTATCCGGAAATATCGTCCGGATATCAGTGCAGGCGAAACGACACACCTAAACACCAGTCGGGCGATCCTCCAGCGGATCCGTTGACAGCATGGCCGAGAATGCCGACACGAGGCTCGTCGAGTACTTCTTCGTGGCGACAAAGACCGGTACGACGTTGGTGGCACCGTGAGCTCACCTCCTTTCTTCTCACTCGCCGCCCGCACGCGTGCCTACCTAGGAAACACCCACTCCATCGTTTTCCAGTACCCACCGCAAAATCATGACCGCGACGAGTACCCACAGAGCGTACTCCTGGTAGATACATAACTCTTGCGTGTGAGTGGACTCATGGCGCTCCGTAGTTTATGTTTCCAAGCCGAAGCGCGGATTCCCCACCGGCAATGTACAACGCGTTCGTGCTGACGACTGCAACTGGATCGTCACTGTACGGCGCGTCCGTGTGCATGTCTTCTTCGACGTCCAACAACCACGCCGACGCAGCATGCCTCACCTCCTTGTGCATTGTGAGCAAGCATCCCCTGTACACGGCGTTTCTTCAGTACTTGGAGCAACTTGCAGTTCTCGGTTCGAGACAACATCGACGGAATCGAGAATTGATGCGCAATGACGTGGCCAACCCTCCAGAAAAAGTACGCTTTGTCGAGCAGTGCCTGACCAACTTGCTGCACGAAGTGCCCGTGCCGCGTTTCGGTTCGTCTGGCGTGCTGTGCTCGGTGGCTGAGGTAACTTTTCGCAAGACAACTTCGCTCACTTCATGGCTGCCGTGACGCAGACCAACATTTTGCTGCAAGCGGCGCCACTCGATTGGGAATTCGTTGAGTATACCTTTCAGCTGGTAGAACCAGAGAACCTTGTCATGCTCGTGCACCATGCCATGCTCGAGCACTCCATCTTAATCCTGGGGACGGACAACTTGTTCATCACGGCAGTCGCGACCACGATTCGGTTACTCCTGACGCCGTTGCAATGGGACCACGTTTTCGTCCCTGTCGTTCCCCACGGTGTCGACATCGCGACGTTGCTGGAAGCCCCCGTGCCGTTCATTGCCGGAGCTCACGCGTCCCAAGTGCCGCATCCTGCCTCGTTGTCGTCGCCCACGGTGTGTTTAAACCATGCTTGTTCAAGTTTATGCCTCCTTCATCATGGCTCGTTCAGGCTGTCGTTCGCTTTGACATGCGCGACAATCGCTTGCATGGATCGCGCGCACGGCTACCAATGCTACCCCAGGCAGCTGAAGCGTTAGTGCGTCGGCTCAACGGCCACATCATGACCATGACCGAGGGCGGGCCGCCGTCACTGCTACCACAGATCCTTCGTGATCGACGCATTCGCATGCAAACTCGTCTGCGCGAGGCGTACGACTCGACTACGGCCACGGACAAAGAGCCTACAACGAACGACGACTCCAAGCTGTCAACGTCGCTGTTGACGGATTCGAGTCCGCTCAATCGAGTCATGGTCAAGTGGTTTCGACGACTCGTGTGCGAGTACCGTTCCGGGTTGGATGTGCTGGGGGCAAAGAAATTCTTGGCTCAAAAGACTGGACCAGACAAAGTACGTCTAGCAGTATATCGATTTCGGAGATGGCGTGCAGCAATAGGTCACCGAGGCGTTGTAGGCGTTTTACGTGGCGTGGAGCAACACGAGCGCATTTCAGCAGCAAGTGGACGGCAGTGCCACGAGCGGGTCATCGTCGTCACTGTTGCGGATCGACCGCGACGACGCTGACGATGACGAAGACGAAGCTCTCGGGCATCATGAACCTCTACACCCCATCCATGTGCCGTTGCGGCCGGTCGGCCACGACCTCATGGCCGCATTTCTTAAACGGGCAAATGCACCACAACCTGCCGAGGAAGGTTTTCCATGTGTCACGCCACCAAACGCTGCCGACCGCGAGATTGCGTTTCCAACGCTTTCATGCGACGCATTGAGTGCGTCTCGACCCAAATTGCCTTACGAAGTGCCCGAAGTCGCCTCCAGCAAGTCACGCAAGGTACCCGTCGTCGTGGCTTCCACGGACACACTCGTTGCATTAGGGCAAACCAAACTCGACAGTCGTGGAATGGCTCGACAATTGGTTGCATGGCGGCAAATTGGACAAGTCTCCGCCAGCCATCTTCCACCGCGCCAAGACTCTGGGCAGCCACTTGAGCCCTCGACTCAACTTTCACCGCACGAAAACGAGTCTAGACATCCCAGACCACTCGTGGCTCCACACGACGTGCTCGCCAGAGTGCATGGAGAACGTTGCGACCTGCACCCGTGTGCTAGACGACGTGTGGACGGCAAACAAGAAGCCAAGTCAGGCATTGGAGGTACCAAACTGTGGAATTTACGTCGTCGCAACTGCTTCCATCACGGGTTTTAGCAAGCGTATGTGGAGCTGATTCATACATTGGGGGCGTGCCACGACGCTCTGCACCGGCAAGATTTGGAGGCGGTGTGGAAAACGTGCTTGGGGGTGAATCCCTTGGGCGGTATCTTTAATCAGCTTGGTCACTGGCGGCCATTCAGTTGGCTCATCAAGACGTGGATGGACCAGGGCGACGTGGCGTTGGCAGTGACGTGGCTCGCGCAGATTCAAATGCACCAGCACCACCCGATTGTGCCAACAACCCCCACGAGCCCCCGATTGTTTGGCGTCAGTAGTTCGGAGACCAGCAGCAGTTCCAGTCTCCATACCACTACAACAAGCTGTAGTGATGCCATGGCCGCGAGCAGCTCAACTGGAGTACTCGCAGCGTGCATGGAAGTCGAGCTTGAGCCGCTTGTGCATCGCGTGTACACAACGTTTGGAATCGGGTCGCTTGGGCTCGTGCTACAGCCATTTAACGAGAAACGCGGGTGCCAAGTGGCAGGGTTTCAGCACCAGTTCGTTTGGGTTTGTTTCCTGACCCTCGTTTCACGCATGCGATGCCTCGTAGAGACGAGCGGTGCCGCATTGAAGAAGGCGACGTGGTCGAAACGATTGACGGCAAGCCAATGATGCTCATGTTCTTCCACGACATCGTCACGTACCTCGTCGAGAGGCCTCGCCCCATGACGGTCAGTTTTATCCGAGGGCTGAGCAACGTCGAGGACGTGTTTCAAACGGTACAGTTTCTGTTTTGCCCACGGCATGACTCGAACTGTGTGGGTGGCAATAGTCGAGGCCGGTGAAGCTGCGACCCCGGCGTGAGATGCACGACCGGTTTGGGGAACTCTTTGAGCGAGGCATTCGGTTGACGTTGCTGGCAGATTGTGCAGCTTGCGGCCACCGTGTGTCCGAACTCGACCTGCAAGTCCAGTGTCGATCGACGTGTCCCAACTGCCACGCCCCGTTCAGTCCATTCTTTTGCGTGCGCTACATGGACCAGCCGCCGTCGACGCCGATTCCGTACTTCTCGTGGAGTTACCTTCACGCGAGATTGACCGCGCATGATGGCGGGGACGACTCGAATTGTCCCCTGCCGAAATGGTACGCCAAGGACCCCCACGTGTACTGGAACATCGTCGTGAAGTGTTTGTGCTTGGACTGTCCGTTGGATTCGTTCCTGGTGGATCTGCAAGACGACGATCAAGTACGCGTCGACGACAGCCACGGCCCCGAAACAACGCCCATGGACGACCAGGAACTGTGCCTGTTTGTTCTGGGGCTGCCTTCGTCGCCTGGAAACCCTGCGTTGGCGGTCTTGCAAGCGCTGGCGAAGCAGCTGTTGCATGTATGTCGCGATTGCATGATATGTTCGACTCGCACAGACGCATGATACGTGTGTGACGGTAGGAAAGCGATCCGGAACATGCAGTCGCCGGCAGCCCTGTCACGACGGTGCCAGCCCATCGAAGCCTCATCAACACGTGGCGGAAGGATCGCGCCGAGCCAATGGCCACAAAGGTGTCGTCCACGATGCGTTGGAACAACGACGTTTAGCGCGATAATGGGAATTCCATCAAGTCGCCTGGCGATCTTGACGAGTCAGGTCACGTTCAACTTCGGTGTGGGTGCCCTCGCTTATACGCCACAGCCAGAATTTTCGGAATATTTATGCAATTTTATACAGAATATTGTACATGTGACATTTGTCCAGATGCTGAGGGCCGACGTTTGTATGCTGTTTTAGATGCTACCACATGTCCCCATGACGTTTCATTCGCTGGGTTTTGTCGTCGGGTTGTACCTCGACCTGGGAACAAAGGAAAAGATGGAGAATTTCTGGCCAATCGGACGCGTTCTTCCAAGCCAGACCGTTACGGAGGTGCTGCACATTGCGACTTCCAGAGCGACTCGGCAGGTCTCACTCGCTCTAGCGCAGCAACTCGTCGCCCTCGCTGCCATGGAAGGATACTTGATGAAACACAGCGCCAACAAGGCGTCGCATATCTGTTTTGGCCACTTGGACCATGGGTACCTGCGCTTCTACTCGTCCGCCGATATGTCATGCCTTGTTGGCGAACTCCGCTTGTCCGGCTGCAAGGTCGAAGTGAAACCACACAAGCGAGATGACAACATTCCATTCAGCTTCACGGTTGAGTCGCAGCGCGTACTCGTCAAAGACCGCACGTACGCGCTGTCGCCCAAGGAGACGGTCGAGCTCAGTGTCCTCGGACCGTCCGTCAGATCCGACTGGGCTCGGGCAATTAGCACGTGGCAGCGCCGTTATTTCAAAGATGAAATTCCCAAAACCCCACTGGATCACGAACACGACCGCGCACGACTCGAAGAAGCCATGGCGGTGTTCCGCAAGGATGTAAACATGACAGCTACTCTCCCAGCAACGATATCACCTGGACTGGGCTTTCGCATCCCTTCTCTCCGCAAGTCCATCATGGGAGTGCTCGACGTTCTGACGAGTCGATCGAGGGTGAGCGAGTCGAGTTCATTCGATGCGGCGCCGCCCCAACCCGTCGCGACCGCGTGAAAACGAATCGCGAGCTCTCTGTACATCCGTGTATTTAATTCAGCTTCGTCATATGATAGCTGTACGGTTAGTGGAAACACGAACTCGTCCTACGTTTTAGTGACTATCAGGTGTGGACTAAAAGCAACCTCAGCTCAACATGCATACGAAATCCGCCTTGGACAAATCTCCGCGACTTCTATCACGCACCAAGCTCGAGGTGTTAAAACGTATTTTTTTCATAACTCCCTCAGTTATTCTCGTTTTAACACGATTCAAAGGTAGAATTGTGTACTAGTATGTATTTATTTCAAATCCAAGCATGTCTTCGGATCAATTTACAGTTAAATCACTGTCAGTGACAGGAAAATCTAGAAAAAACGTGGTGGTTATAACCTTTTGCATCGCACTGTAGATGAAACCATGACGAGTTGAACAATACAACACGCCACAATTTGAGGAGACTCCTATCTTTTTGGCGCACACTTTATTCGAGCTGTATGTGGGCAAGCAACACCAAAATGACCCAAACAACCGTCCACGAGAATCAAGCATGGTACGATAATTCAAGCAACGCGGCGTTTCGACAACAAGAAAATCTACTAGCACTTCTTGGTTTCGATCCAAGGACCTTTGGGTTATGAGCCCAACACGCTTCCTCTGCGCCAAAGTGCTGTACACATCACAGGAACAGTTAAGTGGATAATGGCATAGTGTTTGACGACTTAACGCGAGTGCAATTTGCACGTCAAATCCAGTCATGTCCCTCGAGCTTAGTTGCGGTACGTGGTCTGGCAAAAATGCTAACGTTTGGGGCGTATGGAGCAAAAGGTCTCGCAGCGCCATTCGAATGCCATGTTTGCCAACGATCTCTCCGATGCGTCGCGAGGCCACGTTGTGTACAACACAAATCCATGTAGTATTCACAGAGGGAAGTCGATCAGATGCTTTGGCTGCGTGACTACAAATACTTGTGGGCAATGATGTGAATGTAGTTGTCCAAACGTTTGAATCGGTTGCCAAGGCAAAAGTCGATTGCAGCTTCGAACGCCTTGGCCGCATCGTCGTTGGACAGGCCAGTGAGACACACTTCGACGAGATGGTTGATGTCGTCCCGACTGCGCAGCTCGGGCATGTCGGCAGGGATCATGAGTAAGAAGAGCGTGACCATCAAATGCACATGCTTGCGGAGGATATTGAATGCGCGGGTGCATGTGTCGACGAACGCGGCGAATGATGGCGAGTCGCGGCCGCCCAGCACGTGGGCCATCTCGGGGGTAAACACAAACGGAGTCTTCTCGCGCTTGATTCCAAACTACATAGGCGTCGTCATCGGAGCTGCCAAGAAAGTTTCGTCGTACCTGGTACTTGACATGACCCAAAAAGTGCCCGAAATCAATGTGAAAGTACCGTCCGCTGTGCGTCATCTAGCCCAGACGCAGCCATGACAGGGCCACTCTCAAACCCGGTGTATTCGAGACCTTACCATGATGTTATCATTGTGGCGGTCGCCAATGCCGAGCACACACGTGGCGACGCAGTAGCCTGCGCAGGACCGGTGAAAGAGATCGACTGCATTCTTGAGACTCTTCTTGTCTTGGTTGTTGGCTTGGATCCAGTTGGAAAAGCTCGTGTCGTCGAACGCGCCCCAGTTGCCGACGCGCTTGTGGATATCGGCCGTGGTCACCGCATTCAGCACAACTTGCAAAATCCCGGTCATGGGGCCCGTTGCGACGCATTTGTACGGCTCCATCGCAAGGTCCATCCCCTCGGCGCGCCACAGCTCGTCCATGACACGGATCAGCTGCAGTGTCAAACTGTCCTGGCGAACGTCGTCGCCAGATTTGAAGATGACGACGATGGGGTCGCCGCCGACTTCGGCGTTCTCAAACACGAGCCACAACGGGAGCTTGGCAGACCCCATGACTTTGCACTTGCTCACGATGAGCTTTCCGACTTCGACGCGGGGATCGATGGGAAGCTGGAACGACGACGGAAGCGTCTCGTTGAGCTCGTCGAGTTTCTTGCGCATGTCCACCTTGATATCGTCGAGGACTTTACGATTCGCCTTGAGTTGCTTCACGTACTGGCAGATCGCCTCGAGCTTGCCGGTCGAGCTAAAGAGCGACGCTTGGAGGTGCAAGATATCGCGCATCTTGGACGAGGACACGTCCAAGAACGTGTTGAGGAGCGTGCCGTAGCGTTCGCGGTACTGGTCGTTCTCGCTTTCGACTTTCAATGCCCAAAACAAGTCGAATCCGATTTGGTTGGGGTTGCGCAGGCCGCGCTCGATGAGCTGCAGCGCCAGCGCCGACGCGTGGTGGTTCTCGTACTTGATTGCTTGCACGAGCTGCGGCAAGAAGTAGCTGTAGGTCGTGTCAGCCATCTCGTTGAGCTGCTCGACGGCAAACTTGCGAACTTGGTCGTTCGAGAATTCCGCGTCCAGCAGGACGAGGTAACCAGCGGGATGCGTGCTAGGCTCCCACTGCCGCAACAAATGTAGTGCTTCCTTGGATTCGATAGGGTCGACCCAATTCACGCACGAGAGGATGCGAGGCAGGGCTTCAAACTGCTCGATAAACAAGTGGCGGTGGGTCCATAGCACGTGCTTCTGAAGCTTGTTGAGTTTGACGAGCGGGTCTTGCTGCATCAGGAGCTTGATCTCTTCTAAGAGGCTCTCGTTGTCATTCGCGCGCAGGGACATGAACGGGTCGGCCTCGGACACGGACGACGTCGTTGCGGACAGAACTGTGCTGCTCAGGAGCAAGCTGCCGCGAGTTGTGCTACTGTCGCAGTCGCCGTCAATCGAGTTGGCCTCGTATGCGATCGCGCGGATCGCAGCCATCCATTCCTCGCGCTCTTGCTTGGTCTGGGCGCTCATCAAGTACACGCGCGACTTGTTGGCTGGCTTGAGCTTGAATCCCCACGTCTGCTGCTGACGGCGGGTGTTTTTGTTGACGGCGTAGGTCGTGTACACTTCGTTGAGTTGGTCCGCAATGAGGACGGTCGCGCCAACGAGTTGAATGGACTTTGTCGACGACGACTGCGGCGTGTCAGCATACGTGAGTGTCGCTGTCGCCTGGTTCAAGCTGAACCATCGGTCGCGCCACTTGCTCATTGTGCCTTGCTGGCCAAGCTTCTTGAGCCATCCTTTCTTATCGATCGCAATATTGACAAGGCTGCCGTTGTTGCTCCCGCTGGACGTCGTCGCCGCGCCTTCCTCCTCGACAATGTCATCGTCGGGTTCTTCCGCTTCGTCGACCGTGGCTACTGCATGATCACCGACTTGAAATTGCACGTCCGTGGGGTAGTTTTTCCACGAAAGCTACAAGATATCAACGTGACGACTCAACCACGTCAAAGGGGAAGCCTCCTCATGCACGCATCAAGCCCACGATCGCCTGGAACGACCGCGCCGTCCGACACACATACGCGAACGCCACGGAAACGTCATGACGCCGTCGTTAGTACCTGCAAGTACGGCTTGGCGGGGTCGATAATGTGAGGCACGGGACCAGTCACACACCTGTACACGTTGGAAAGCAGCTGCACGTACGAATCACCTTGAACAAGTAAGCCGTCCACGTCAAAGAGATTGATTGCAGTCGTGGCAAGGCATTCGCGGTCGTCCAAGCTGAGGCGGCCGCCGCCCGACGAGTCCTTTTTGCCGCCAAACAGAGTCACCACAAGCCGGGCACTGCGTGGGATTTCGCGGATCTTCAGCTTGGAACGGAACCACGTCGGGCGGTCCCACACTGCCATGTACGCGACAGGCATCGACGTGTCATTGTTCATTGGCAGGAGCTTGGTCTCAGCTGTCTCGATCCAGTCTTCGAGAGCGACGCCGCCGTCAAACAACTGCGCACGGATCGCAACTTGAAAGTACATTAGCGGCGCGGTCTCGATCGACACTTCGTGGGACGTGCGTTTGATTTGGGCGGTGTGGCCCGGCACTTGGAGCGTCCGATGGACGCAGAATCGAAGCGACTCGTTCAATTGATAACTTTTCGCAATGAATTGCGATGACACGGCCGACGGCGCCGCTTCGTCAAGTGCGCCAGTCTTGCCCAGGTCGAACGACGACTGGCTCGTTCCATTCAAACGGACGCTGTCCCCAGACGACTGTTGGTTGTCGTCGTCGTCGTGCAATGGGTGGGCACCACGGGATGATGTATTCACAACCGCTGCCAGGGACGTCAGGCGCTGAGAGCTCTTGGACGACGCCATGGACGACAGCGCCGCGTTGAACGACGGCGTCGATTTCGTGCGCGCCACGGCCGCGTAAATGGACGCCTTGGACACGACCGAGAGCCGCAGCGTTTTCTTGGTTAAGAGGCACTCACGAACATACTGGTAATCCATGATGAGTCGCGTCGGTTCGATGAGGTAGTCTTTGAATCCGGTGAGTTTGAGCACGTAGTCGGTTGGCGAGTACGGCTTGAGGGGGACAGCGTCGATGGCGTGTTCGTAGCACGAGAAAATGTGGTCGATAGTCTCTTGCACTGTGAACGTGCGCTGGAGGTTGAGGCGAACGTCGGTTTTGGCTGTCGCCCGGACCTCTTGCAAGCACAGCATGCGGCGGAACTGCTGGTTAATTACTGGGAAGGGCACGGTGTGGCACAGCGCAGTGACCCACTTCATGTACTCGGCTTCCGAGTCAGCTTGGAGGACCCAGATGCGGTTCGTCGTGACTAGCTCGAGCGCCCACCACAGGTCCTTCTCGCCCGATGGTTGCAACGACGTGAGTTTGTCAAGTTCGACGACGCCTTTTTGCAACTTGGCGCGTTCCGCTTTCGTCAGCTTCGGGTGGGGTTCTTTGCCGTAGTACGCGATCACGTTGCCCTCGAGTTGCATGAATCGACTTTTCAGGGCGACGTTGCCGACTCCGCGCTTCTTCAACCAACCGCTTACGGCGACGGTGTCGGTAGGCCCGGTGGTGGAGGTGTCGTTATTGTGCGATGGATCTTCCTGCAGCAAATCGGTAGGAAGGCGCGCGACGGTCTTGATTACGGTCATGAGCGCTCCGCTCAAGGAATCCTGGAGATCTGCCGCCGGGTTTGTCGAGTTGTCAAATACATCATGAGTCGCCCAGTCTCCCTCTTCAAGACGATATTCCGGTGCTGTGGCACGCAATTCCAAATCTTCGAGCGATGTCCCCACATGCACATCCTGCAGGATGGCGGACATGGCTTCGCGTAACCGAACGCTTTCTTTGGAATGGATGAGGTTTGGAACGGGATGCCACGTCGTCGTTCCTTGGTCGCTGTTGTTGTCTTCGTGGAGTTCGCTTTCCAAGGGTGCATCCCAACTCAATCCATACGGGTTCAGTTCGTCCATGGATGGAAGCAGCATGTGCGCGTCGGTCGTCGCGGCTGCCGCCATTGGGAAGGTCGTCGGTCGGAGCTCCAAAGGGGAAATGCAGGTCATCGCTGCGGTTATCCGGATGATCGCGATGCGGGGGGACATCGAATTGCTGGGTTTTGTATCGAGGGGATGTTCCGGATAAAGCTGGACTCAATTCAGCACAACGTGTCGCAGCTCTCGCATGTCGCCGCCGACAGCACTGGCCTGGCCTGCCAAGCCCCAAATGAGCCTCGTTACTCCTTCAAACGTCACCGTTGTGCGGCAGCGAGCCAGCTACATTCATCGACACAGCCCGATCTCGTTGGAATTGCGACGATCGTATCCAAGCTGGACATGCAGATTTGTCGATGTTTGCAAAAAGACAGACTGCACACACACACATTGCTGGAATTGTCGCCCGCAGCAGAGTCACCGTCAAATAAGTACTCCGTCCGATCGTGAGCGCATGCGTGCCGGAGGACTGGTGCTGCTACGCGTGGCATAAAACTACTAAGGCATCCATTCTCGTCAGGATCTGACACAACTCGTCCTTGCTGCATGGCGAGTGTGGACCAGTTTGCAGCAGCCAAACGTGGGGCATCTAACACGAATGGCCACACTCGACGCTTGGTCCATGACACTACAACGCTTTACGAAATAAATGGGGGAGGTCTATCGATGCTTGAGGATGTGGAATGTGTTGTCAATGCGCTTCATCGTGTTGCTCATGCACTGGACGATGAGATCGGCAAAGTAGGCAGCGGCGTCTTCGTCCGTCAACTTTTGCGCCGTCACTTCCACGATATGACTAATGTCGTCGCGGTGGCGCAGCTCTGGCATGGACGCGGGGATCATGAGCAGCAGCAGCGACACCAACAGGTGCATGTGTCTTCGCACGACGTTGAACGCTTCCCCGCACAGCATTTGGAACCGCGGGAACTCGTCGTGTCCTTCCGCTGACGTCGGTTTGAAAACGTAGCGCATTTCGGGCGTAAACACAAACGGCGTTTGCTCGCGCTTGATCCCGTACTATGTCATGCATCCGTCAGTTCATCTCGACCGCTCGATGTGCCATCGCTCGTGGCCACTCGCGATGGCTGTACCTGGTACTTCATAAAGCCCAAAAAGTGGCCGAAATCAATGTGAAAATACCGCCCTTGCTTGGTAATCTACACGCCATGATTGCATCCGCCGTGCGAAATGGATGGCTGGCAACGCACCATAATGTTGTCGTTGTGGCGATCGCCAATGCCCAGCACGTACGTGGCAACACAGTACCCAGCGCACGACCGCAAAAACAAATCCACCGCCGTCCTGTAACTCCGCGGGTCGCCGTTGTTGGCTGCAATCCAACTGGCAAAACTTGTGTCGTCAAACGCGCCGATGACGCCGCCGCCGCGCTTGTGGATGGCGGCAGTCGTCACTGAGTGCAGAACAACTTGAACGAGACCGGTCATGGGGCCCGTCGACACGCACTTGTACGGCTCCATCGCGAGGTCTTTTCCGTCTTCGCGCCACATTTCGTCCATGAGACGGATCAACTGGAGCGTCAAGCAGTCCTGACGGACGTCGTCGCCAGCCTTGAAAATGATCACGACGGGGTCGCCGCCTTCTTCGGCGTTTTCAAACTCGAGCCAGAGCGGCAGCTTGGCCGAACTCATAATCTTGCACTTGTGAACCAAGATCTTGCCGACTTCGACGCGCGGATCGATCGGCAACTGGTACGACGACGGCAACGTTTCGTTGAGCTTGGCGAGTTGTTCGCGCATGGCCGCCTTCATCTCGTCCTTGCTCTTGCCGTCGTGGTGGAGTTGCTTGACGAGCTGGCAAATCTGCTCAAACTCGCCCTTCTCTGAAAACAACTTGTCCTGGAGCTCGAGGATCGATCGCATCTTGCGCGAGCACACGTCGACATACGTGTTGAGGAGGAGTCCGTACCGCTCCTTGAACTGATCGTTGTACGACTCGACCTTCATGGCCCAGAACAAGTCGAACCCGATCTGGTTGGGGTTTTCGATAGCGCGCTTGATAAGGTGTTGGGCCAGCGGTGACACGTGGTGGTTTTCGTACTTGAGCGCTTGGACAAGCTGCGGCAAGAAATAACTGAACGTTGTGTCGGCCATCTCGCTCAACTTTTGGACGGCAAACTCGCGGACACCTTCGTTTGCAAACTCCAAGTCGAGCAGCCGAATGTACCCCGCGGGATGGCTCGCCGTATTCCACAGCGACAGCATGCTCACGATTTCGTCGACTTCGGTCGAGTTGTTCCAGTTCACACACGTCAGGATCCGCGGCAACGCATCAAAATCGTTCTTGAACATGTGGCGGTTCTTCCACATGATGGCCTTCTCGTACGAACTCAACCGGTACAGCGGGTCGCGCGAGATGATGTGGCGCAGATCGTCCACCGCGCGCATATTGCTGTCGACGCTACCCACGCTCGACGCGGACGACGCGCGCTGCGTGAGAAACATGGACGACTGGGGCAGCGTGAACGACCGCAGCATCGAGTGCCGCGCCGAGTCTTGGCTCGACATCGAGTGGAAGCTCATCGCCATGCTGCTGTTTGTCTCGGTCTGGTTGTCCTCGTCGTCGGAAAAGGTCTCGCCGCGCGCGACCAATTTGATCGCAGTCATCCATTCCTCGCGTTCCTGCTTGGTGCTGGCGCTCATGACAAACTCGCGACTGCTTCCTTCCGCTCGGAGCTTAAACACCCACGTCTGTTGTTCCTTCTTGGTGCTCTTGGACGTGACGAACGTCGTAAACTTGGAGTTGAGCTCGTCCGTGGCCCACACAGTCGCCCCGAGGACGTTGATCGTGTGCTTTGCCGGTGTGTGGACGTCCTCACCGTACGACAACGAGTTGGTTGTCTGGTTGAGCGAAAACCACCGGCGCTGCCACTGCGACAGCGTGTAGTTTTTGCCCGTTTTCTTGAGCCATCCCGATTTTTGAAGCGTTTGGCTGCGATGGGTGTACGCCTTCTTCTTGGTGGCTTCGTACCCATTGCCTTGCGACCAGTCGAACGCAATGTCGGTGTGGTACGACGACAGCGAGATCTATACATCGTTGTGTGGCAGGTGAGTGCCCGGAACGCCAGTCGAGTGGTGGAGTACTGGAAACAAACTCGAAGCACCGCGTCGCACAACTGCGACAGCGGGCAGTCACTTACGTGAATCAAGGGCTTGTCCTTGTCGACAATGTGCGGCACCGAGCCGTAGTGGCAGTGGTGGAGGTTATCGATCATTTGAACGTATTGCTCGCCTTGGGAGATGAGTCCTTCCACGTCGAACACGTTGATGCCGGTCGTGAGGATGCGCTCGCGGTCGGACCCGTCCGTGTTGTTCGAGACCGCACCGCCTTGGTTCTTGCGCACGCCGTAGAGCGTAAACACGAGGCGGGCGGACCGCGGGATCTCGTTCAGGCGAGTTTTGGTGCGGTACCACTTGGGCTCGGACCACACCGCGATCAAGCCGTCGTCCATCTGGGCCTTCATGCGGATATCGGTGGTTTCAATGGGTTCTTCGATCAACTTGCCGCCGTTGTACAACTCGACGACAACCACAGCGTTTGTGAAGAGCAACGGCCGCCCCTCGACACCCACTTCGTGCGCATCACGCTTCAAATGGGTCGTGAAGCGCGGGATGTTGAGCACACGGTTGACACAAAACCGGAGTGGTTCGTGGTAGTGGCAGCTCTTGCCAACGTTGTTGGCCGACGTGTCTTGGTTGGTCGCGGCCTGGGCGTCATTCTTCCAGTCCCCGCCCAACGTGGTAAAGTTCAAGTTTGATCGGGACGACTTGGTGGCGAGCAAACACACTTTTTCGTTATACAAGAGATCTTGGGACTGGCTGAGGCCCTTGAGCAGCTCGGGGCCGTCAATTTTGGATCGGTGGACCAGCGTCAAGCACACCGTCTTGCGAGTGAGGAGGCATTCGCGGACATGCTGGTAATCGCTGACCTGGCGCGTCGGATCGATCATGTAGTCGCGGTACCCAGTCAGCTTGAGCGCATAGTCGTTGGGGTCGTACGGGTGGAGGGGCACGGCATCCAGCATGTTGTTGTAGCATTCAAAGATGTGCTCGACCGTCTCGGCCACCGTGTACGACGGCAGAAGCACCAGACGCACTTCGTTCGCAGCGTTCGCGCTCACTTCGGCAAGTTGCAGCATGCGGCGGTAGATGATGTTGACCGAATGGAATGGCACCGAGTGACAAATGGCCTCGACCCACCTTTGGTAGTCGGCTTCCGAGTCGGCCGCGAGTACCCACGTACGGTTGGTCGTGACAAGCTCAAAGCCCCATGCAACGCTTGGGTCGCCGTGGGGCTGGACAGCCGACACGTCGTACAAGTTGATGACTCCCGTGACCAGCGATGCCTTTTCGTTGTTCCCGAGCATCAATCCGTTCTTCATCGGCTCTTTGCGATAATACGATAACTTTTTGTCTTCCAAGTCGAAGAATCGCCGTTTGAATGCTTTGTTGGTTTCGCCGCGCTTTTTCAAGTTGCCAAAGACGAGTTCGGACGGGTCTTTGCGACCGGCGCATGCATGGGGATCTATCGTCAGCAAGCTCATGGGCAATCGCGCCACCGATTTCAGCGTCGGCGGTAGCACGTTTTTGCTGTTCTTGTGGGCAATCCAATCGTCGCTTTCCAAGCGGTACTCGGGTGTATTAGCACGAATTTCGAGCTTCTCTGTCGATATTTCTTCGTGCACTTGCTTTAAAATCGACCCGATCGCTTGGCGCAGTGCCAAGCTTTCTTTGGAATGGATCAGGCCCGGGACAGGCTGCCACCGCCCGCCGGACGGGCCACTTTCATGTTGTGGTTGCGATGCCGACGCTTTGTTGTGGCCGTAGTGTGCAAACGGGTTCAAGTCACTGAAGGCAGGCAGCTTGCCGGACTGTGCCAAGGACTGGATGTCCAGGCCGTCGTATGTTGCTGGTGGGGCACGACTCATCGGGCTAGACGTGCAGGCAGCTGAAGAAGCAAGTGGCGGCGTGTTAGGTGCTGCCTGTGATTCCCACTTGTGGAGATGCCTGACCAGCTCTTTACAACACAGTCACGAATATTTTTATTCAATTGTCCCGACTACAATATTAATTCGCAACCGTCACCTATATTGCAATTCATTTTTTTAAAGTCTAACTGCTTACTTTCCTTCGGAAAAAATTTTGCGTATCCGGATAAATCCACTTAGTGTTTGTATTGGAATCGACCCCGTCCGGATATACCACCAGCGCAACCTACCAGCCAATTGCCGCCACGAAAACTCTGCCACAACAGTTCCGCGACCTCTATGCCATGTTTTGTCGCATGAAGCACGGGATGCGGGCGGTCGTCGGACGCGTGGCTCTGTGGCCACAAGTCGTTGAGTGTGCTTGGTCGAAATTTCAAATGTTCGCTCCACCCGCGGCTGACGTCACGTTGCTGGGGCTGGAGGCAGAGCCGCGAACGATCGGGAGTCGTGGACGAAACGATAACGCATGCTCTTTGGCCCTTTATTCGAAACCACAGAGGACGCAACCTGTTCGAATATGGCGGCGGGTTGAGCCACCTGCGCCAAGGGGGCTGACATTGTGTGCCACAAGGACGACCAGTCTCGAACAAATCCAACGCGCGGTTGTGGGATTGTGCAATAAAACGCAATGCGTTTTTTATGCCGGTCCCACAACCGAGGGCCGACCCCTCCGAGCGAACGAGCCCCCGTCCATGCTATACGTGGAGAGATTTCGCTTCAGCAATCCAAAGCGCCTCTGACATCTCTTGTCAGGTTCATCGTGTGGCTCATCACTACAAACGGATGTCGTGGCAGAGCGAGGAAGCCACGGTCCGTTGCGTTTTATGTTTTGATTGGTTGCTGTATTTTCACAAGTGTAGGTGGGGCTGTAACGGTCGGGAACCCCGAAACCCCCGACACATGAACAAAACGACGCCACGACCACTCGTGCCGGCTCAAACGCCCGACGAAGCTCGATGTCTAAAGCGTTGCTTCCTCTACCGGAGAGAGGGGTACACGAGAGGGCGACGCTCGGAGTTCCTTGTCGGCCTGCGCTTGCGCACTCGACATACCGGTCGTTGGATGGGCAAGCCATCAGTCGTCGTTGTGGTGCATATGCAGCACCGGCACAACGAAATTCCACATGAAAGCGACGTAAACCCGTCAAACAACCCAGGCGATTGTCCCACCCATCACCACGTACCATCGAGTCGTTCGATGGTTCAGCGCAATCGTGCGCAGTTCGTTCCCGACGGCGCACAGGATGCACGACGTCATACAACCGGTTCGTTAAGTTACTTGGAATGTTTCCACGCATGCAAGTAGTCATCGACCGACTTCCACTTGTCACGGAGACACTTGTCGATGAGCTCGCCAAATAAACCAAACGCGTCGGCCGGGGACATGGTGGGATACAGCGACGCAACGACGTAGTTGATGTCCTGCGCCCGTTGCAGCTCGGGCATGTCGGCCGGGATCATGAGCAAAAAGAGCGACACGAGCAGGTGCATGTGGCCTCGCACCACGTTGAACGCTTCGCCGGCCGTTTTGGCAAACCGGTCGAGCTCGTCGTTGCCCGTCAGCTTGGTTGTTTCGTGGAAGACTTCGGCCATGGCGGGGGTAAATACAAACGGCGTCGTCTCCCGCTTCCACGCAACGCCAGCGACGGGCTGGTACTTGATATATCCCAAGAAATGGCCGAAATCAATGTGGAAATACCGCCCTTGCTGAGTCACCTACAGCGACCCAATGTGTGCGCCGTGGTGTTCGAGTGAACGAGAAGCGTACCATGATGTTGTCGCTGTGGCGATCGCCAATGCCCAGCACGTACGTCGCGACGCAGTACCCGGCGCACGACCGTAAAAACAAATCGCCCGCCGCTTTGGCAGCCGAGTCCCGCGGGTTGTTTTCTTTGATCCAGTCGACAAAACAGTTTTTACTCAGCACTCCCGTGGCCTTGCCAAAGAGTTTCCCTGTTGCCGCGCGAGTGTGGATGACCCTTGTCGTGACGGCATTCAGCACAACTTGCAGCATCCCGGTCATGGGGCCCGTCGACACACACCGGTACGGCTCCATCGCGAGGTCTTTGTCCGCTTCGCGCCACATTTCGTCCATGAGACGAACCAACTGGAGCGTCAAACAGTCTTGACGGACGTCGTCGCCGGCCTTGAAAATGATCACGACGGGGTCGCCGCCTTCTTCGGCGTTTTCAAACTCGAGCCAGAGCGGCAGCTTGGCCGAACTCATCACTTTACACTTGTTGATGACCATCTTGCCGACTTCGACGCGCGGATCGATCGGCAACTGGTACGAGTTGGGCAAATTCGCATTCAACTCGGTCAGCTTCTCCCGCAGCGCTTTCTTCAAATCGTCTCCCGCCACGCCACGGTGATGCAGTTGCTTGATCTCTTGGCAAATGCGCTCAAACTCGCCCTTCTCTGAAAACAACTTGTCCTGAATCTCGAGAATCGTTTTCATCTTGTGCGAGCACACGTCGACATACGTGTTGAGGAGGAGCCCGTACCGCTCCTTGAACTGATCGTTGTACGTCTCGACCTTCATGGCCCAGAACAAGTCGAATCCGATCTGGTTGGGGTTTTCGATGGCGCGCTTGATGAGGAGTTTGGCCAGGTGCGACACGTGATGGTTCTCGTACTTGAGCGCTTGGACGAGTTGCGGCAAGAAATAACTGAATGTTGTGTCCGCCATGAGCGCGAGCTTCTCGACGGCGAACGCGCGCACAACGTCGCTGGCGAATTCCTTGTCCAGTAGAGCAATGTACCCAGCCGGGTGCGATGGCGCGGCCCACCCGTCCAGCAGCGACACAGCTTCTTGGACTTCGCGGGCACTGAGCCAGTTGACGCACGTCAGGACCCGAGGCAGCGCCTCAAACGTGTCCATGAGTTCGTGGCGGTTTTCCCACATGACCGACTTTTCAAACGCGCTGAGTTGGTACAGCGGGTCGGTTTGAATCAAATTGCGCAAGTACTGGAGAACTTTGTTGCCGGACCGGCAGGTCACGGACGACAGGGCTCGGCTTGGGAGGAGCTTGTCATCGACCCAGTCCTGCGACGCCACGAGCTGGAGCGCATGGATCCACGACTCGCGCTGCTGCGATGTTTCCGCCGACAAAATGTACTCGCGATTGCCATGCGCGGGGCGGACCTTGAACACCCACGTTTGAATTTCGCGGCGCGTGGTCGCCGTCAGTTTGTCTGTGATTATCTTGTTGAGCTGGTCGTCGCGAACGATCTCGGCGCCGTCGAGCGGGATCACTTGGAGCGGGGCGGGCGACCCCGTCGGGTGCTCCATGTACGACAGCGTGCGTTCGCGCTGGTCCAATGCAAACCACCGCGTCTTCCACGCCGTCGTTTTGTGGTTCTTGCCGGTTTTTTGAAGCCACCCCGCGCGATTCAGGGTCGGGTTCCGCGGCGACAGCTTGGCCACTATGTCGTCATCCTTCAGCGTCATTGGGAACTCGGTCCCGACGGCAGCTTGGTTGGCCGGGCTCACGCCCCAGTCGAATTCGACGTACTGGTGGGTGTGTTCTGTCTCGACAGCAAACTAGACAGCAAACGTTAGCACGATGGCCCGTCGTCAAAAACACAGTCGACTCGGTCGTCGCAGCAAAATAGGCACACCATCCGTCGGTTCCATGCCGTCGAAGGACCAAATCACGCGCGGATCCAGGCTCGATTTTGTGTCCAGAAGAAGAAGGGGGTCGGCCCATACATGTACCTGCAAGAACGGTTGGTCCGTGAACACAACGTGCGGGACGGCGCCGGTGACGCACGTGTGCGTGTTGTCGAGAAACTGGACAAAATGTTCGCCGGGGACCAAGAGACCGTCCACGTCGAATATATTCCACCCGGTCGTCATGATGCGCTCCCGTTCGTCCAACGAGGATCCCGATGCGACGCCGTACAGAGTGAACACGATGCGGGCGGCGCGGGGAATGTTGCAAACTCGGAGGCGCGTCGAGAACGCCTTCGGGGCCATCCAAACCCCGATCAGGTTGGGCGGAGTAGTGCTGTCGTCTTTGGCCACGTGCGGCAGGCTCTTGAGTCGGATGTCGTTGGTCTCGCCGATGAGTTCGAGGCGCTTTCCGGCGTGGACGAGTTCGATCTCGACGACGCAGTTGGCAAACTGGAGCGGGGCGGTCGCAACGCCTTTTTCGTGCGCCGTCCGGTGGACGTGCGTCGTGTGCCGAGGGATGTTGACAACTCGGTTGATGGTAAACCGGAGGGTGTCCATGCACTGTGACGACGGCACGAGGACTTCGTCCTGGCAGTCGTCCATGTCTTCCATGTGATCGTACTCCATCGTGGTGCAGTTCCAGCTCGGCCGGCGATGCGACACCTGGCGATTGCCCGGTCGCGAGCCGTTCGCTGAACCCGACGCCGTGTACGTTTTGAAGATTTCGTCGTCGACTTGGTCGCATGCTTCTTCGATCTTGGACTTGTGGACGAGGGTGAGGCACAGCGTCTTTTTCGTTAAGATGCATTCCTGGACGTGCTTGTACCGGCCGACGGGTTGTCTGTCTTCGATGAGGTAGTCGCGGTACCCCGTCACCTTGAGGACGTACTCGGCAGGGTCGTACGGATGCAGCGGCACGGCCTCGAGCATGTTGAGGTAGCAGTCGAAAATGTGCGCGACGGTCTCCTGGACAGAGCAGGATGGCAGGGTCACAAGCCGGACTTCGTTTGCCCCCGACGCGTCGACCTCGGCGAGCTGCAGCATGCGGCGGAACACGATATCGACGCACTGAAACTTGACCGTGTGGCACAAAACGCGGACCCATTCCTGGTAGTCCTGGTCGTTCTCGGCCACGAGCATCCACGTGCGATCGCTTGTGACGAGTTCAATCATGTGATTCGTCGGCTGTCCTTGAAATGGACGGACGAGGGTGACGTCGTCGAGCTTGATACTGCCTTTGACCTTTGGCGCGCCGCCAAACAACCTCCGCGACGACTCCGGTGGCTTTTCGTAGTATCGCATCACTTTGTCCTGGAGTACCATGTATCGCCTCTTCAAGCTCGAGCTGGCCGACTCGCCGCGTTTCCACAGGTATCCGTCGTGTGATAGGTGGCGCCCCGTTGCAGTGTGCGGCGACGAGATCGCCTGCCCCGCCTTCGACATGTCGAGAAGATTGAGCGGGATGCGTGCGACGGTCTTGATCGGAACGTCGATGCTACTTGCCTGAGCATTGTGCATGACCCAATCGCCCTTCTCCAACCGGTACTGCGGCGTGTTGGCGCGAATTTCGAGTGTTTCCGCCGAAGTGTTCTCGTACACTTGGTTCAGAATAGACCCGATCGCGCTTCGCAGAGCCATACTCTCTTTGGAGTGCACGATCCCTTGCATCGGTTGCCAACGTCGATGGGACTTGCCATTGGACGCGGTGGTCGCGGCAGGGACGCTGCCGTAATGTGCGTATGGGTTCACGTCGTGGAAGTCCGGCATGATCACTCCGCCATAACCAGAGATGGTCGAAGGCCGCCCCATGACACTGAACGATTGCTCGTCATACGTGTGGGCGCTACTGCCCCACCGATCGTCGTCGGAGGAAGCGGCTGCAGCCATGGCTGGCTTTCCCAGTGGTGCGTCGAACGTAAATGGCCCCGCAGACGACGATCATCCGGATATTCCTGGCACTGCCTTCTCACGGATATCGACATGTATACAAATACCAAGTCCATACACGTGAAATCCGGATAAACCGTGGAATGTTCGACCCCACGACCGCTTTGCCCATCAAAATCTATGTCTGTGACGCATACTAAAGTCAGCATATTCTTATCCAGACAAATCTCCGAGATGGCGTAGGCACGACAAAGCAGGGTCACGCGCGCGCACGCCTTCCTGCTTGATAGCAGTATTGTCTTTGCCGTGTATTTTGTCGTAGTCACGAGGGTAGAGCTATCGGTGGCGACACGTGGATGAGCGGGTCAGAACTGGGCCGCGTCGTTGCACGTAGGGTCTCGAATTTTTCTGGATTTATCGTTTTCGACATAGAAAAATCAGTTTACAATAAGCGAAAAATCGATAAAATCAAGATCGGCCCTCTGATTGGTTGGAAATTACAATCGACACAAGCCGTCGGATCCTCACTTGTGGTGTCGAGAGTCCACCACGGAAGTCGAGCCCCCGCTACCGAGCACCGCCGCAGCCCACAAACATTGCTTGACCTTCATGGCGCGCCGTGTGCCGCCCAAGCGCTAGGGGTATCGTTGCTTTTGTAACGACAGTTCGATCCACGACGAGATCTCTTGGTGAACATGGTGGTTGGGGTAACCGCCGTCGTCAACCTGATGATCAGTATTCCAGGACACGACCAACACACGATGGCCGCGCGGCGTGGAAGCTTCCTGTCGACTACATTCTCCCGGGGATCGAGCTTCACTTTACCGCCACCGGCCCCCACCTTGTGCTCCAACCCATCCACATCACCATCGTCCACGACAGGCGACGCGGCAGGAGACTCCTTTGGCCTCCCCATTCCTTCCTTCCACGAATTGAACCCGTACGCCCATTATGGCACACACGCACCGTCACCGCTCAAGGACAATGGAAAACCCCACAGTGTTTCGCGGTGGCAGCCCGTACCTGGCCTCATACACTCAAAGGAAAGCTTGGCGCTGCGGCAGGCAATCGGTGATATCCTCACCACCGTCCACGCACATGTCACTCCAGCCACACTCGAAATCCGAGCGACCACACCGGAATATCGACTGGAATCGGACGATTGGATCGGCCACGCAGGTACCTCGAGCACCGGCGACAAGAACACGGTCAAGGCCGTGGCGCGGCTTCCGATGGAACTCCTCGAGGTGGAGGAGTCGTCCGCATCGTCCGAGTCGGCGCCGGCGTGTTCGGTCTCGGGATGGCTCAAGAAGCGTGGCGAAACCAACAAGGCGATGAAGCGGCGGTACATGGAGCTCGAGGACCGCGCGTTATGCTATTACAAGCGCAAGCCGGAGAAGCAGGGGACAGCTTTGCCGGTGGATCAAAAAGCGGCGGTGATGAAGGGCAAGATTGATTTGGATTCGGTGTCGTCGATCCAGCCCACCGTAATCAAGGGAACGTCAGTCACGTGGGGCATCGACCTCGTCACGACGAATCGCACGTGGACGCTGCAGGCTGAGTCCGAGGCGGATTTCCACATGTGGGTCAAGTGTTTGTGTCACTCGGTGCCGTTCCATTCGGTCAACGTGGTATTCCGCCGCATGCTGCAGCTTGCCGAAGTCAGCGCGTCCGGGCCGAACGAGGTCCGCATGGTCCTGTTTCCGTTCCACACGGTGAAAGACACGGTAGATCACGTGTTCCAGTGCTACCAAAACATGCTCGACGCGACGCCCCTGCGCCAGTACGACCCCTGCGAGTACGTGCTCAAGTTTACCGGGTTTCGCGACTTCATGCTCGACCCAAACCAACCACTGGGCAAGTATCAGCACGTTGCAGAGTGCTTTCTCACGCGGAAGACGCTGTGCCTCACGTTGGTCCACAAATCGTACATTGACGACGCGCTCAGACAAAGCCAGGTGGGCGCGCCGCTATTCCCCGCCACGGAATTCCTCAACTCGGTGCACCCCGCGCACGGTACTTCGATGGCCATCACGACGCTCGGCGCGGACTGGAAGTGCCCTCGGCTAGCAATGGCGTCGCCCAGGTCCGCAAACAACACCACCGGAGCAAGTCGAGGGACGGTGGTGGTGGCCAGCGGACAGGTCGCCGTGGTACCCGCTGTTCGCATGCACGTCCACCGAGTCGTCAACATTCCCCGGTTCACGTGTGCATTAAAGAGAAGCGCCCACGACGCAGGCACTGTGGAGCGGAGACCACTGACGTGCCAGAACGTTGTGGTTCGTGTCGAACTGTACGATGGGGGGCAGCTCTTGGAAGTTGTGGGCGAGACAAGTGAGGTCCCGTTGTGTGCGATGCCGGCAGGGACAGATGCTATGTTTGCGCAGTGGGGACGAATCTCGACCGAGTCGCAAAATGCGGCAGGTCCTGTCTGGCTTGAGAGCCAACTGCGGCTGTGCGATGCGCCACGGTCGACTCGCGTGGTACTTTCGTTGTGTGGAGGTGGGGGATCGAAGCAGCAAGACGGCGTCATCCTGACGACGGGTTACAACCTCTTTGACGTCGATTGCGTCTACAGTCAAGGGGAACAGTACATTCAGCTGTGGGATAATTTGCACCACGCCAGGCATGGCCCGGTGCCGCATGTTGTGGTGCCGGAACGCCCCTTTGTCCATCTCGAGTTGCAGAGCAACGACGCGGCGATTGTGTTTGACTGGCACGCGCAACTCCAGCTCCCGCCGTCGCCCCCCCGCCCCGTCGTCGTGCAAACCGCATTCACTGAACCAACGTCGTCGGTGCCGTCCCCGCCCCGTCCCACCCGAGTCACTCGTCGCGCCGACTCGGTCACGAAGGAAGGGTGGCTGAAAAAGACGGGAAAATTCCACTCGCTGACGAATTGGCAGCCAAGGTGGTGCGTCCTGAGCCAAGGAAACGGTGCCTTGTACTACGGCGATGGTCCGGCAACTCGGCACAAAGGAGCGATCCATCTTGCGCAAGGCGCGACTGTGACCGCCGCGGACGAGCTCAACGAGACGTATACAACGTTTGCGGTGAGTAAAGGCACCCGAAAGGAGCACCGCACATGGGTCTTCAAGGTCAAGTCGAATGAGAGCTCACGGGAGTACGTGCTGTGCGCCGCGACGCGGCAGGAACGAGACGAGTGGATGCTAGCAATCAAGGTCGTGGCCAACGGGACCAACATGGAATCCGTCGCCGACCTACGCCAGCTATTGTTGCGTGATCCGCTCTTCCAACTCAGCGAGTACCAACAATCGTTGCTCTGGCGCCAGCGCATGCTGTTCGTCGACTCCTTCGAAGCGCTGCGGCATGTGCTGGGGTGCGTCAACTGGCACAACGCAGCCGAAGTCGCCGACATGCTTGCGCTGTTGCCTCAGTGGGCCAAGCCGCAGCACCCCGCGGCGTATCTCTCGCTCCTTGACATGCAATTCTCCCACGAAGGCGTGCGGCTCTTTGCCGTGCAAAAGCTGAGCGCGATGGCCGACTCAACCTTTCGATGCTTCTTGCCGCAACTCGTCCAAGCACTCAAGTACGAGAACCATCACGTGTCGCACCTGGCCAAGCTCCTCATCCAGCGCGCTATCGAAAACCCCAACCAGATCGGGTTCGACTTGTTCTGGGCCATGAAGGTCGAGTCTTACAACGATCAGTTCAAGGAGCGGTACGGGCTCCTCCTCAACGCGTACGTGGACGTGTGCTCGCGCAAGATGCGCGGGATTCTCGAGCTTCAGGACAAACTGTTCTCCGAAAAAGGCGAGTTCGAGCAGATTTGCCAACACGTCAAAACGTTGGCCCATGCTGGCACCCCCAAAGACGAGATGGTCGCCGCACTGCGCGAACGACTCACGGCTCTCAACGCAACTCTGCCCACGTCGTACCAGCTCCCGCTTGATCCCCGCGTCGAGGTCGGCAAGATCGTCGTGCAGAAGTGCAAGATCATGAGTTCGGCCAAGCTGCCACTCTGGCTCGAGTTTGAAAATGCCGAAGAAGGAGGCGACCCCGTCGTGATCATTTTCAAGGCCGGCGACGACGTCCGTCAGGACTGCTTGACGTTGCAGCTTATTGCTCTCATGGACGAAATGTGGCGTGAGGAAGGGAAAGATCTCGCGATGGAGCCGTACAAGTGCGTGTCGACGGGCCCCATGACCGGCATGTTACAAGTCGTCCTCCACGCCGTGACGACAGCGGCGGTACACCGACGTGGGGGGGCGCTCGGAGGCATCTTTGGCGCGTTCAACGACGTGAGCTTCTCGGACTGGATTGCAGCCAACAACGGCGACCCGCGGAGTTACAGGATGGCGGTGGATTTGTTTTTGCGGTCGTGCGCTGGGTACTGTGTTGCCACGTACGTGCTGGGCATTGGCGATCGCCACAACGACAACATTATGGTGCGTTGCCAGCCATCCATTTCGCACGGCGGATGCAATCATGGCGTGTAGATTACCAAGCAAGGGCGGTATTTTCACATTGATTTCGGCCACTTTTTGGGCTTTATGAAATACCAGGTACGGCCATCGAGCGGTCGAGATGGACTGACGGATGCATGACATAGTACGGGATCAAGCGCGAGCAAACGCCGTTTGTGTTTACGCCCGAAATGGCGTACGTGTTCGGCGGGGTCGGCACTGACGACTTCAAGCGATTCCAAAGGACATGTGGAGATGCTTTCAACGTCGTGCGGCGAAATCTCCATCTCCTCGTGTCGCTGTTGTTGCTCATGATCCCCGCAGACATGCCCGAGCTTCGAACGCGCCACGACATCAGCTACATCGTCGAAGTGTCGGTCATGGAACGAACCGACGAAGACGCGTCGGCGGGGTTTGCCGCCCTCATCGTCGAGTGCATGAACAACACATTCAAGCGCATCGACAACACGCTGCACATTATCAAGCACCGGTAGCGAGCGATGATAGAATAGAGAATAGTTGTGGGAGGGCTGGTCCAAGGAGGGCCACGAAAATATGTTGTCCAGTTGGATTTTGCCCTTCGACGAGGTTCCTGCACCGCAAGTGGGCAGCGAAAACATTGCAACGACTGTGGATCGATGCGGAATGATTGCCACGGCGCTCGTTGGTTTCCCCAGAGTGCCCCGAAGCGCACCGCCCTTGCAACCACGTGTTCAAATGTTCAAATGGAGGGGGAAGAGCAATTGACACGCTTTGTGCTGCTTCTTCAAGTGTAATTCAAAGTGATTGCAGCTCAAGCAAGTGCCTTCGTCAGCGGCGTCTGGATGCACGAATGTGCTTCTGGGTGTGTCGGCTGCAACGCAACGAAACCGCGTGACTTTTGGTGGCTCAACTGACGAGACCCTTTCTTCCCATCCAACGCACAGGATGATCGACACTTGCATCGAGATGTCGGACCCGAATTAACCTCGGCATGGCATCCCCAGGCTCCTAAGGATGGTGGCGAGCGACCACCGCAACCATGCATGCTTGCCCCATGACAAGCAAGTGGCAATGCCATCGCAAGCTGGTCCATAAATGGATGATGCAAGTTGATTCGCACCAGAAGTGGTCATATACACTAGGGCAGTGTCCACCAGGTGGCATGCCAACCATTGAATGCAGTACCATGGACGTCGGTGACGCAACGGCCTTTGATGTGCCATGGGCTTCAAATTGTTCCCACATCCTGCCACGTCAGACGTGTCGTCGGTTCGGCGAAATCCCAGCGTCTGATTGGCTGGATGCGGATCCATTCACGGACCGAGGCGGCTGGGGCGCCGGGCCGTTGTCAGGCCACTGTCGCGCTGTGTCTGTCGGCACAGCGTCTGCGTCCAGAAGCGTTCGCGGAATTGCTGCAGGACGACGCGACAACGCGATGGATAAAGAGAGGATCGCGGGAACTCTGTGAAGCATATGTAGCCCCCATGAAAACCAAGGTTCTGTGCGAGGCATTCGGCGTTGGGGACGCTGGAATGGGGTCTATCGGACCTGATAGATAGCTGAGCCCGCCCTCGGCGCGTCCGCTCAGGCAAGCACTTTAAGATACACGGTGTACCGTATAGCAGTTTGTCGGCGCTACAACGAGCAGCACTGCGATCGAGCAGGTCGTTCGTTCTGGCACGGCAACCGAATCTCGTGACGCGGTCGGAGCATGCCACGAATGCGTTGAAAGGCACACGCTGGGCTATCGGCCGTCGACTCCACAAACAACAGGTGAGCGCGCAAGGTGAGATACATCGCCGTCGGACATATGATACCATAATATATCCACTGTGGTATTATTAAACGGCGCCCTATTGCGTCAACACATGTCCAAACGTCGCGACGACGGCATATGGCGAAAAAACGCGTTAAACACGAACGCGATGTAGCGGGGACGTCCCGATCCACAGGAGCAAGAGAAATCGTCACCGAGACATCTTCGGTCGCGATGACCTTTACGGACACGTGCGATACGCTCAACGCACGGCAACGACGCGTTATCTTTGTGCTGT